CATCAACTGGCAAAGACGGACGAACTCCCATGGATACTTCTCCACAGATCAGGTCAGAAGTCAGGTGTACTCTATGCAGAGGAACAGAAAGAGTGTTTAATCCAATTCCTCTAATCAAAACACTCCTCCCTTCACTCGATACCTCAGAAAAAGGCAGAGCAGATTCAAGAATGAAGGATTCTGATGAGCCTGTATCTCTCAAGATTTTAATTGGTATTTTACTCTCAGAGTTTGGCAAAGACAGACAACCTTCCGTAATGAACGGTACAAAGTTTTTCATGGCTATCACTTTGGAATCACATACTTCATTTCCAGCCTCAATGGAAGTACCAGGATCAAAATCATTGGAAGTTTCAGTAATGTCAGTCACTAACACAGGATTAACAATTAGTTTGTGATTTCTTTTTTCCAGACGTCTATTTTGCAGCTAGAACTGGGCACTTATTTTTCCAATGTCCCAGATTAAAACAATAGTTGCACACTAGATCTCTGTCAGTCCTCATCTGACCATTGTTCTCTAATTTTGAAGGATAAGTTTGTTCAAATTTCTTGGCTCTAACTCTATTTTCATTAAAATGACCACACTGTTGACCTGATCGATCTTTGTACACCTTTTTATGCGTTAATACATAATCATCTGCCAAAACTGCAGCTTCCGTTGCGTCTTTTGGCTTCTTTTCGTTTATGTATATAGCAATGTATTCGGGCACAATATTTTTAAATTGTTCTAAAATGATCAGATCACGCAACTTTTCAAAATCATCAACAGCGGACGCAACACACCAACGATCAAAACAAGAAACCAGATCCCTTACCACCTCAGAGTGTGTTTGGCTATCACCTTTTCTCCAGCTTTGAAATCGCTGGAGATAGGCTTCAGGAAACAGTTCGTAGGCCTTCAGAATAGCTACTTTTACCTTGTCATAATCCTTTCTGTCCTCCATCGTGAGCGCTGCATATGCCTCCTGTGCCTTGCCTGTAATCACCGTTTGAAGCATGACAATTCGGATAGACATCAGCCAATTTCTTTCTGCGGACAAAGTCTCGAATAAAGTAAAAAAAACATCAGGGTCATGTTCATTAAATTTGGGAAGCAGCCTTAAATTACTGGCCAAGTCAAACCCTCCAGATAAACTTAAACCTCTCTCCCCAACCTCTGACAACATTTTCCCTTCCTTTACCAATCTCAACCGCTCCACCTGCAGCTCATGATCTCGTGCGGATTTCTCAGCCTCTAGCTTTTGCTGTTCGAACTCAATCTCGCATTGCCTGAGCATATTCTCGTTCCTTATTCTTTCAATTTCCAGTTCATAACATTTAGTTTCTTTAATCAACTCTTTATCGTGAAGCTGCTGCTTTTGCAAAATCTCTTTTCTTTCTTTGATGCATCGATGTCGCATTTTCTGTGTGGAGAAACCGCCATAAAGCTATTTTTTCACAACAGAACGTAGTTCCTTTTTCCGTATTTTCTTGTCTACATCACCGATTTTAAAGTGATCTACAAGTTCCCATAATTGTTGTTTTACGAAAGAATTTAATATCTCCTCTGATGGATCTTTAATAAATTCCTCTATAGACGACATTCTGTTTACATAAAATGTTACTCTTTTAAACACAAAGCAAGTGCATTTATTTCCTCTCCGGAACACAAAACAGGTGAAACAATTATTCACTCTCCCCCTTCTAAACTGCCTACCAACCCACTAAACTAACCTATGCCTAGTGTGAGCAGCCAGCCCCAGATGTGGTCCAGATGCGTCTAATCTGAAGCTCTCAGTATTCTCCTTTTTAATCCGCCTAAAAAGATCAAACCATTCGTTAGATGAGGGGTGTTGATGATCCTCACGTGAAAACACACCGGCAGATCAAAGTGCTGCGCGCATCCGCCTAAAAAGATAAAACCGCTCGTGCAAATGAGGGGTTAATCCTCATGTGTAAACACACTGGCGGATCAAAGCGCTGTATGGTTACATACGTAACCTAGAGACGTTTGTTGCGGACAACTACTGATGTATAATGCTGTGTAGTATAATAAATGATAAGACACTTGTTCTTTGCTTTGTTTTATTTTATATAAGAAGGTGTAACATTAAAATATATTAAAGTGTACATAAACACACACAAAACTCAAGTACATATGGAGGGAGGGGTTCTTGCAGACCAATCACAGCGCTTGCGGTCTGCGTAGTATTGACGCGCTGTTAGATTTTTGGAGAGGTGCACGTCAGGCTACGGCGTATGGGTGTGCGTCTATGCGTAAGCTACGGCGTAGGTCCGACGCAAAGTATAAATCAGCCTTAATAGCGAGAGCGTTCTGTCTCAGTGAGCGCAGCCTCAGCATGGGCGTGGCCCAGGCTAGCGGTGCACTCAAATCCGAGGCTGTCAGCTATGTGAAATCACTGGTGACAGCCTTTACTCCGATCCGCCTAGAAGGATTGAGCCGCTCGATGTAAGTGAGGGGTGCTGATCCTCATGTGTAAAACACACTGGCAGATCAAAATGCTGCAGTGAGAATGAAACACGCGGGACCTGTGCCGGCGTAAAATCACTCAAGCCTGATCACTCAAACTCGCGAGTTCGCCATTTCTTCTCCGAGGTAACTGGGAGGGGAGAAACGCAAGAGCAGGGGAGGCGGGGCCATCTTCATTGAAGAAGGGGATCTGCGAGTGATGCAGGGACAAACTTGCGCTTTAGTCTGTGAAAGTAGCCTGTCCCAGTGAGCGCAGCCTCAGCGACGCACACACAAATGCGAAGCTGTCACTATCTGAATCATTGGTGACCGCATTCTATTCCGATCCGCCTAGAGAGATTGAGCCACTCGATTTAAGAGGGGCGCAATCTCACGTGTAAAACACACACCGGCGGATCAAAGTGTCAGGGGAGAATGAGCACGCGGGCTCTTGCCGGTGTGAGATTATTTAAACCCGGTTGCTCAGCTCCGTGACGCACCGTTTCTTTCTCCCGTAAAATCACTCAAGCCTGATCACTCAAACTCGCGAGTTCGCCATTTCTTCTCCGAGGTAACTGGGAGGGGAGAAACGCAAGAGCAGGGGAGGCGGGGCCATCTTCATTGAAGAAGGGGATCTGCGAGTGATGCAGGGACAAACTTGCGCTTTAGTCTGTGAAAGTAGCCTGTCCCAGTGAGCGCAGCCTCAGCGACGCACACACAAATGCGAAGCTGTCACTATCTGAATCATTGGTGACCGCATTCTATTCCGATCCGCCTAGAGAGATTGAGCCACTCGATTTAAGAGGGGCGCAATCTCACGTGTAAAACACACCGGCGGATCAAAGTGTCAGGGGAGAATGAGCACGCGGGCTCTTGCCGGTGTGAGATCATTTAAACCCGGTTGCTCAGCTCCGTGACGCACCGTTTCTTTCTCCGAGCTCGCTGAGAGAGGAGAAATGGGAGAGCGGGGCTGCTTTCATTTAAGAAGGCGTTTTGTGAGCGGAGAAGAGCGAGACTCATGCTCTCTGTGAGAGCATTCCGGCTCAGTGAGCGCACAGTCTCTGCATGGGCGCTGCCCAGACAGGTGATGCACTCACTGCCCTTCTGCATCGTGCAGGGATTCCCCACACAAGCCACACTCGCGGTGCGACATTTGCAAAAATGTTGCAGAGAAACCAGCCGGATAGCCGCAGGGGAAGGCTTCTCGCTTTTTCCGCAGCCGGGGCTTTTCTACAGCAGCAAGCTGCAGGCTGAGCTTCTTCCCTCTTCGGCTTCTTGATTGCAGAGAAGATTCTGATGAGATGGCGCTCTGAGCCGACTTATTTAGCGGTCGGCTCCGCCCCTTCTGGCATGCTCCAGCGCCATTGGTTTTTTGCAGCTACGTTAACCAATCAGGCTTCAGTAATAAAGTAAACAGGAGTTTCCCCAAGCAGTCGTCAAACGACAACGCAACGGGAGTTACCTTTTGATAGGGAACCCTATGGAGACTCAGTTTCAGTTTTCAATGTTTCTGTAGCTCAAATGGTACAGCATGGCAAGGTCATGAGTTAAATTTTCAGTATATGTGTACAAAAAAATATACATTTAATTTTGTCTCACCTCAGGTACAGCTGTGGGACACGGCTGGTCAGGAGCGTTTTCGTAAAAGCATGGTGCAGCACTACTATCGCAATGTGCACGGAATTGTTTTTGTCTTCGATGTCACTAACTCCACTAGTTTCTGCAATCTTCCCATGTGGATGGACGAATGCCGTCAGCACTCTCTTGGTCTGGATATACCCCGTGCTCTCGTTTGCAACAAGACCGATCTGGTTACTTCGCCGACTGCTTCTGTGTTAATCGATCAGGCTCGACATTTGGCTGAAGTCCACGGAATGTCTTTTTATATTACTTCAGCCAAAGGTCGCAAAGGGGACCTGGTGGACAGCATCTTTGTGACATTGGCACAGAGGTTGAAGAGCCAGAGAAGGGAGAGTGTGAATGAATTGGTGTTACAGTGCAGATCTGAGAGCTTCAATATCCCAGCAAAAGTGATAACAGCACAGGAGAACAAGAAGAAATGGACTTGCATCTGCTGACAGATGAATGAACATAAGAGTTATGTGCTTAATTCAGTATGTCCACTAAATAGGCACATAAACAGCAGTATGAACTTTGAGAATAACAGATCAATGGTCTTGTGTCAGTGTGTGATGGCATGAAGGCTGGTTTAAATGCCAATTGCAGTTTTGATTTTTATAGTCATCTGACTCTCATGGTTTGGTAGACAAGGTCAAGGTTACTTCACACAACATTATCTGTATGAAGCAATGCCTCATAATGAAACAAACAGCAAGAATGTGAGATTTGATTTGATTTCCAGTTTCTTTGGGGGCTTTACTTGCTGTTGATTTTGATCCTTAAACTTTTAGCAGACAACAGCAAGAGCAACTTCTTGTCAAGAATAATGTTGGACATTAATTGAGGTTGATAGTTATCAGTTTGCTCCAAAATAACTTGTGTAGATGTCCAATTTTCAACCACTTTCAACCCCTTTGCTTTATCCTGGAGTTATGAGACTAAAGTGAACCTTTTTCCTGACAGCTGAACCTTTTTCTCTTTGTGCTGGGTCAAAGCTATAGTGACTAACCACATCCACATCCATGTAACCCAATTTAAATATACTGTATATACAGGTAGCAAATTGTTTGTATGATTCAATAAGCAAAATAAAAAGGTCTTTTTGTTCTATTTTGGCTCTTTGTTCTATATTCTGCTTTCAACCTTCTACTCAAATTATTGGATGATTGGGAATCAAGTGTTTTTATAATTCTTTATTTTTGTAACCCTTGTGCTGTGTTGAAATTCCTTTACCTAATTTGGTTTTTCTCATCAAAAAAATGACTGGCAAAATTGCTTGTAAATCTCTCATTATGCTATGTTATCATATCATTATATTGTTTTCGGGGTGATGGGTGGAACTAACAGGAAGGAGCAGACAAGGAGCTGGGGTGAAAAAGAAGAAGCCATAAAGCCACATGGGAACTGTGGAGGGGGTGGAGCTAAGAGGCAAAGCTAATTCTATCTGAGACTTGCAGAAGGGGAAGGATTTCAGAAGTGGGAGACTGAGAATTAAGTCCTGGTCGTTAAAACCCGTTAATTCTCCTAAATGGATCTGGCGATTAGTTTGGGCTCTGGGATGAACATGGCATCAGGCTCTGGCTCTGTGGTGGACATAGGGTCTCGTACCATTAGAAAGTCTTCCGCAAAATCTTCCATTGGCTAACCCCCTGATAAAGGGACAAAAGTTGTCCTCTGGATAGAGAGATACTGCTGATAAATGATGTTTTATTAACAGATTTCAGGAGGTGCACGTTCAGATAATCAACTTAATTAGCACGATAGTAAATATATATACAGCCAACTTACCTCTGTCCCATGACGGTTTTTCATCCGTCCTCCACCCCAACTTCTCACTGCTAACTTAGCTTGAGGATATAGGGAGCTCTCTGGGATCGGGCTATATTCCAAGCTCAGAGCCCTCCCCTCGGACAGCATGCCAAATATGCTTACTATCTGCTCAATTTGATTATATGTGCAATTATGATTATATATAATCGTGCGAATGTAAGTGCAAACTCATGAAATCCATAGTTTCTGTCATAGAATATAGGTAAGGATGTAGCATACTAAAAAACAAAACTAAATGCACAGAAACACTAGAGTACTACAAAGCAGCAAACCAACATTAACTATAGATAATAACTAATTTCTTTATTTTTTTTGTAATCCTATTTCATTTCATTTTTAGAAAACTGAAATGATTGGAAATTCAACTCGGAAATGGAAGAAAGGAAAGAGAGAGCAGAAAGGAAGGGGAGGCATGAAGTCCAGCCTAGAGTGAAAAAAGGATGAGAGGAGCAAAATGTAGACGCACAGTATAAAGCTTTAAAATATGGTCATAATTAAAGATGTTCCAGTAAACACGGTAGAGCCAAACTCTCAGCAGCCAAACCAGTTGGTGAATATGTTAAAAGCCTTTGTCAATGTGATCATGCAAAGTTATTTCAGTATTGTATCATTATTTAACTACACCCATATCCAGTTTTCTTTTCTGCACAGCTAAGCTACACAACAGAGGAAGTCAGAGTGTCATAATAAATTACAAATATAGTTCATGTAAAGTTGTTACATCAGAGTGCCTCAAGATGGTGTTCTCTCACCATACCTGTTTGTACCTTGTATGCCAACTCATAAAATGTTTTTTTATTGGTTGTTTAATTTAGTTTTTTACTGCATGTATATCATAAAATGGTCCATACAGCCCTTTAACATGTTCAAATCAACTTGCAATGTGATTATTGTTGCATATAGTGCTTCAGTTGGTAAAATCTGTCTTATTTAGAAGGCTTTCACAACTCACTAAAATATGACAGATACATTTTGTAGCAGTTCTGGATTACTTAATGTCCTAAGTGACATAATCACTCAATCAATCAATCAATAAACAAACAAAAAAAGCAAAAAACTGTAGTTAGTTATACAACATCAGCATCCAGGCTTCAGGCTTTCTTGTTATGCATTTTATTATAAGTATTCTATCCATTCAGATAACATTATAAACATGCAATTATTTGTCAAATAATATAGTCCTTGAGGAGAGCATCTTACATCAAGCCAAAATGTCCCAAGTATGGCCGCTGTCATCTTGTACAATTGATCTTGAGCTTTTATTATATTGCCGTTGAAAGCAGTTAAAAGCATTAAGCCACTCGAGACTGTGCATTATATTCACAAAATCATTTAGCTGTTTGATCTTCTGTTGTTTAATGAATGTTTATTGCATTTAAGTGTTGTGAGTTACCATGATGGTGTTTTGTGCTTGCATGAATGATTCTGTGCACCACCTGTATATTAGTATACTTTAACTTGTGGAAAAGCTACTTGTGATTAACTTTTAATCTTCACATGGCTTTATCTTTTACCACCTGCATTATTATGGTGGTTGTTGTTAAAGGTACAAACCAGATTATTAGTAGCAGTAAGCAGTGTTGAATTTATTGGTTTACATTAATTTTTTTTGTATTACAATTTTATACTGTACAAATTACAGTGTGTTCTGTAAATGTGTTTACAGTTTTTTTCTGTAATATTTTTATTTTTTTAATATTTTTTTTTTTGGCAACCACAGCTGCTAAAATTATTTTGTAAAAACTGTGGGTTTATTTTTTATTTTTTTTACATTGTATATTAGGCTTTAGTACATTTAAAATGGACTTGATTTTTTTTTTCACTTAATTTGGTTTATATTCAAGAAATATTGGACAATAAATGTGTTGTTCGCACACAAGTTTATTGCATACATACTGTAAACTGTTGATTACAGTAGTATTATGTCCCAAGGTTCAAGGTTCAAAATATTTACTGATTGCTCTAAAGAAATTGCAGCAAGTGTTAATGATTGCATTGTTTCAAATCATTCTCATTGAGTACAATTGTGTTTGACTACATTTTATTTGTTTGATTTTCTTTAAAAGGTTCATCTATTCAGTAGTTTTTCATTTTTGGGGGGTCTATAAAAATGTATTTAGAAATGTGTAAGTGGTTGCAGCAAATGTATAAATGCAGTTAAAGGAAAAACTATAAAAGTGGAGTGGAATGCAAAAAGAGTACTACAAGAGTTAACTATAAAACATTGACTTTTTTTAGCCACATTAATAAAACGCATGAATGTAGTGGTAGTAGACTAGTAGTAATAGTAATAATAATAGCGAATAGAAATCTAGAAATCTTATAAAATAAAAATTTTAAATATAATTGGAGATAACAAAATTCAAAATGGCAAAACAAACATACATCAAAATGTCAATGGTTAATGTGATAAACAATACAGGAATAATACAGAGTCTGTAAACTTCTAACCGCAACCAAATTCCTAGTGGATTAAGCAGATTATCTGTACATCTTTAATCAGATAATTAAATGAATAAAAGTGTACATACATATTTTTAAAAATCAAAAAGATTAATAAAAACATGAATTGTTGGAATATAACATGATTTAATGTTTCTCTTCTGACTTGTGCATTTTGTAATGCCCCATTTATACATTTTATGAGATGCTGACATCATATACCTAAGTATACTATAGTATGCTGCAAGATGACTTATTCATTCCTTCACGAAATGCTATTATTTTATTTCTTTTTGTCCTTTTCTTCTGCACTAAAGCTCTTTCAGACATCTGACTTCTGACTTCTGACTTCAGGTCAGCATCCGTTTCCTTCATGGATCGCCTAGCATTGCTGAGTTCATCTGACTTTGTAAACATGTGGTGGCTGTAGTAGCGGTTATGATTCTGTTTTATCATGGCTTCAATCTTCCTCATGAGCTCATCAACTTGTGTACGGTCTGACTTCTCTCTGTTGTTGAATATATGGTATTTCCCTGTGCATGCATTTATCACTTCTTTTAGCTCTGGTGCTTCCTTAATATATTCTTCAATTGTGTTACTGTACACAGGCTACCTGAAAGGTTTGACATCAATTTACAACATAGTGATACTTGCTTCTTAAGTCTTAATTGTTTGTTGGAAACTCAGAAGCGAAGACCAGGAGACTCTTGGGTATCTTCAGCAGAGTTCTTTATTGAGAACACGCTGCGTGGCGCTGCAGTCATCAAAAGCATAACTAAGGCAGTGATACTTTGTAGTTTATATACATTTAGGGGGCAGTGCTTAGAAATGGAGACAAAGCACCTTGGTGATGACCTTAAATAAAGCATGCAAATGAAGTATTTTTAAGTATAGCAACCTGCCTAATTTCACCAGTCCTAATCCAATCAGCATAACTACTCAAAGACTGGGGCAGGGGCACCAAGAGCCATTACAAACAAAAGGTGATAGGCTCAGTAATCTGGCTCATTTGACTTACAATAAGAGAACAGGAACTGGCAGGAACCTCTTGCTACAAACTTTGCTTGAGAGAATCATTTGTCTGATGTCATCATATTTACCTTAAATGCTAAATACAATGTACTTTACCTTAGTTTTTCATGTGATGCTATGTCAGAACATAATTTCAGCATATCTTAAACAGATTCTTAAATTTGTAATCCCACAGTATAGTCATAAAATGGTGGACTGATAAAGAACTTACTCATTGTAGTGCCGTTAATGATTCTGCTGGTTGAGTTGCTCCTTCAAGGATTTCAGAAGATCAGATGGCAGTGGGTTTGTTGAAGCAATGAATACGACTTCTGTTTTTAATAATTACCTAAGCCCAACCTCTTTTACACGTGAGTTTTATGATTGGATAGGCTTTTACTTGAACTATTCAGGAAGGTAACAGATTTAAAAGATGTTTCTGAAGTTAAGTGTTTATGGCAATCACTTACAAGAAGAAATCAGCTAGTTAATATGGATTTTTGTTATCGCAATGCATGTTATAAATCTAAGATTTTATACAATATACAAAATATTTCATATTATAGTATTTTGAATACCATGACTGCCATTTAACATAAAATATCTAGTTGAAGTTGGCTCCAATAGCCTTGTGGTTAATGTGCCAACATACAGTGCACCTGTGCTCATTGTGACCCAAGTTCAAATCCCATCTCGATGCAGGCCTGGTTCTATGGGTGTGCTAGAGTGTGCTTTTGTTTTTCAAACAAAATCTATAGCACCCTCAGTTAAAGCTGTAATAATGGCATTTCA